AAAACAGCTGAGATGGGATTCCCAATAATATTCCTCAAACATGTCGTGCCATCGTTGAATCGTACTTCTAGTACTACTATTGCTACTAATAATAATAATAATAATAATAAAAACTGAAAAACCTTTATTACCTAGCAACCGTCGGGCCAGTTGTAGCAGGAGAGGAGGACAGGTTAAGATTTGCAAAGTCCGTTTCTTTATTTTCACAGCTCGTCTCCTGCTCGATACGCCGAGCGGAGTGAGGCCGGTGAAACTGCAAATTTTACACAACTACAATGTTTTTTATAGAGATTCTATCAATCCACAGTGTGTAGTTGGATCACCTGTAAACCTATTATGCACATCGCTTTGGGAGACTGTTGAAACTATATATAATATATATATATATATATACATACATATATATATATATGAGAATATAAGCGTACAGTGTCTATAATCATTGAGAGGGAGTCTTCCTCTCTTACAAACAAAACGGGAAGTACCTTTTTATTTTCAAATGTCTTCCTCGGGTCATCAAAGGATTTTATCTTAAACTTCGGTGGAATCTGCACTTTTTGAAGGACAATCTTTATTTGTATGGGTATAAAAATTGACAAAAACGAAGTCGCCTGATATTACAAGGTATAGAAAACCAACTCCAGTGTGCTCTAATAATGAATGTCTCCTCTGATGCTGTCTATTTGTTTGGTTTCATTTAATCTTTTTATTCTCCTTCCTTTGTTGCTTGGTTTGTTCTGTATTTTATTTTTTATTTTTTTCTCTTATTTTTTTGGATTTTAGTGCTCTTAAGAGAATCTGTACTAAGGTGTAGAGTAGTAGGTAGTAGGTCTTCTGTTGGCTGTACTCGTATACTGATTACTGTTTGTAACCCTCTGGCTCCTGCAGCCAGCATACAAAGCTGTATAACTTGGGTACAACCCTCAATAAAAGACTAACAATGACACAGCAGTGGCCCCCCAGAGTCTTCATTTCTGTGTTGGTGAAACGTCTCCAGGCAAGATGACATCTGTAACGTCTGCAGCCACTTACAGCCTTTTAAGTTCCACTTTATAAACGTCATCCTCCTTGTTCAGTCCTCTTGTGTTGTGTTGTCTCTTAAAATATTTTAAATTACAAGAATGTACTGTAAGCTACATTTCATTTTTAGCATTTTGCTGTAAAATTCAATTCATGTCAAACATTTGCGCAATGTAACTTAAATGTAGAAATTGTATCAACGTGCAGTAATTGCAACAATTCAAAGTTCAACAGTAGATGTTTGTTCTTGTCTAAAACTAAAAACTAACAGTTTAGATCTACTGTATTAAAAATACAGCTCCCGTAGTAGGAAGTCAATGCAACAAAAGTCTGATTTAAATATTTTGGGGGTTTTTTTCCCCCATACTTAATATATCCACCTGTATTTGTATTGACAGACCCAGTCCTCTCATTGAATCCATTTCTTCTCTGCTGGAAGGATTGTGTTGCTCTACCTTCCTCTTTAAAACACCCTAAATATGTTTCATTGGACTCATACTAAGCCAGATCATACTTTTTACTGTTATCTTAATTAAAAACGTGTGATTTTGGCAGTGTGTGTTGGATCAAGCTT